CTGATAGACTGTTGAGTATGATCCCATTAATACCTCTCCTAGTGCATCATTTCCTTATTTTCCTTTCCACCAACTCCTTAGCTCTTCCTCAGTTAGCTGCTTTGGGAAGAATCTAATCCAGAACCTCTTGCTTTCAAACTCTGGATCTTCCTTCTTGGATCAATTCTTCACAGGTTGTTTTCCTTGCCTGTTATGTACTGGGTAATATGAACCAGACTGCCTCTCTTGGTTGGTCTGGGTTCTACTTGCAGAATGTCTCTTCTCCACCAGTTTCCATTGGAAGTGCTCCCTTGGGGACTCCAGTCATTGTAGCCTAGTCAACCTTCTCTCATTCATGCTTCCTCTTTTCCAATCATCTGTTCTTCATCCCTTGGCTCTGGTCTGGTCTTATACATGTCCTAATGCTCTCTCACCTTTGCAGCCTTAACCTTGGGTCCTGACCTTAAATGAAGACATTCTTTGTTATTTTGTCTTGGTGGTACCCCTCTGGCTGGCTTAATCTTGGATTCCTCTTCTATGCCACCTGGTGATCCAACATCCTCTTTCCCTGTCAATTATACACTATTGCTTCAGCATCACAGGATCTTGTCCTTCCACCTTCATGTTTTAATTAGTCGGGTCCATCGCTTGTTGAACCAGACTTTCCCATCTGGTAATCCTTTCATTTCCCAATTCCAGGCATCATTCATCATTTTCCCTGGTCGTTCTGCCCAGGTGGGGGAATGGCTTTTGATGTTGGCCCATCTATTGCCACCTTCCTCCTAATTGCACTACAGTTGGACATCTCCATTTCCTTTACCAGGCTGTTCTACAGGGTTTAGCTGTCTCTGCCTTGCCTGTTATTGAGTGGCCTTTTCTTCACCATTTTACCTGCTCAATGCTGCAAAGTTTCCTTCCCTGCTTTCTCCACCTTGTTCTGATCCTTCCTTATCTATAGACACACTCACTCTGTTCCTGTGCCTTATCAGAACATCAGTGTCATCCTGAATGTTCCTACCTGTGCCTATTTGAGCCATTGGCAACCTGCAACTTTTACTGCCTTCTCTTCAGACATATTCCTCTTTCTTCTTGCTGATGGTTGCTGTTGTTCAAATATTTGTGCTAATGACTTGTCACATACCTTTTCCATTATCTTCATACTTTTATTTCTCCATATTGGTCCTACTTCTCTAGGTCTTTAGACACTTGGGGAGGAGACCTCTACCTTTCTCCTATCCCGTCTTTTTTTCACTCTTCTAAGCTTGTTCGGAGTTGAACAGATTTTTCTGTCCTGTTCGTGCCATTCTTTGCTACTTAACTTGTACCTACCACTTTCAGGGTTTCCATATTCCACTCTACATTCCTCTACAAATCTTCCTCTGCCTTTATTGGTATGGCCTGCCAAGTATTTTGTTGAGTCTCCTCCTCATTGAAGGTTGTTGCTTGCAGATGGTCAGCATTTCATCTCATTGGATTCATCACCTCTCTTATTCTCTCACTGATTATTTCCAACAATTGCTTGTTTGGGCAGATGAGTACATTTGCCTTTGGTTTATAGCATTTGCTTCCAGGATCGTGCAAGGTGGCTGGTGGTGTATCGCAAGGTATGCTTATTTCCCCAAATTCCACATCAAGCCAGGATAACAGAACACACTCATACCATCTGCCCTAGATCCATATATATACCCACTTTTGAGATGGGTTGTTCCGCAAGATCACTTGGGGTATCCTAACGGGATATTCTGATATCAGTCTACTGTCTGATCCAGACCATAACTATTTCATGGACTATCATGGAATAAGCCAGCACCAGCAAGTGCTCTGCCTGCTTCCCTGGCTCATGCTTGCTGTCTTTTCAAAATAGGTTTAAAAAGTCACCCATTGCACTGTCTTCAGTAAATGACCTTTCTGGCTGAAACAGGACTGATGGGGATCTGGGAACTTTATTTTCTCCAGGTCTCCACACTGTGAATTCTTTCTACCCCCTTTTTTCTTTGAGTGGAGCAGTTCTACCATTTACCAGTTCCTAGCTGCTGGAATGGTGGACAATGGAGAACTCTAACTGTTTGGGACCTAACAACCGAAGGCTAAACAAGAGGTGCCAATCAGTGGAATGTTGGGTGGTGGTGACACTGTCAGAGTAGTGCAGGTCACCCCTCATATACTTAAACCAACAGCATGCCAAAATCATTTCATATGCTACTGCGCCCTCCTCCTGCCATCTGCATCTGTTCAGTAGAGTTGAGGCAAGCACATTACAAGAGTTTGCCCTCCCCCTGCAGCTAGGGACTGTTCAGTAGAGTTGAAGTGAGCCCACACACTATACACATATGCCCTTCTCCTTACTTACTAACAAATCGTGCTCTCCTCTTTCTACAGCAGATGACTGTACAGTTGAGTTGATTTATGCACTCTTCTTATTACGTACTTTATATCAGGACTTCTATGCCCTCCTCTTGCAGCTGGTGTCGGTCCAGGAGTCTGATGGTAGAGTTGAGAAGAACACGCACTAATAATTCCTGTACCCTCCTCCTGCAGCTGGTGTCAAACCAATAAATCTGATGGTAGGGTTGAAGTGAGCACTAGGTATGATCTGATCAAACCCCAACCATGCTACAAATATTGGCTCTCCGACCTCTTGTGTGCAAGAACTCAGACGGTCATGTTCTTATTCTGCCCAACATATGGGGCTTGTTTGCTTTTTCCTCCCTTCCAATCTGGGCAAAGTGTATACCCCAAAAGAGATGAGATGCTGTCTCCCATGAGTGTGTTCTTATGGAGCCCCTGCCATCGGGAGTCACACTCCATGGATTTCCCCCAGACACTTTCTGAACAGAGCTCATGTAGGTAACTTTTGCAATAGTTCCTCCCCCATATTAATGTGGGATTCTAGCTTTCTGTATAAATAGGTGTGTATTGCCTCAGAAGTTAACATTTTCTGTACCTGAAAATGTATTTCTGATATATACTTACCTCCTAACACACTTCCCACCCTTCCAATTTAGTATTCCTTGCCTTGTCATAGAATGAAGATCACAAGTGCAAAATTGTAGGGGGGGGAGGTAGTGTGCAGGAAGGCTGTGCCATCTTCATAATGGTGGAGGGCTTTTGCTGCATTAGCACACTTCACAAAAAATCTCATGAGTTTAGGAGGGAGTTGCCTGAAAGCTAGTGGCATGCAAATTTCTAAGAAAGATGCATGAGGCTAAAGGCTATTGGAGAAGATAGCTTTCTTTGTGAAGAAGTGAGTATCTATCGGAATTATATTTTCATGTAAGGAAAATGTTAACTTTATAAACTCCCCGTGACTGCTGCAGAAAATGTATTCTACCCTTAAATCAGAAAAACTTTTCTATTTGCAGTAGGGGCTTATAGATGATTTTAAAATAAATGTCTGGGTAAAGTGGTTATATATTTGTTGAAGTTTCTTTCTTACTTAAAATTGATGAGATCCAATTATATACACAGGTAATTTAGCTACAACAGATTTTGGGGTGTAGAAACATTACAAAAAAATAGTTAAAATTTACTTCTTAACATCAACTTTATGTTTTCAGTTTATTAAGTCCATACTAGTCACCAGATAAATGGAAGGTACAAAACACTAAATTACAAATTAAATTATTTTTATATGCAAATGGTATAAAACTATTGAAATTAAAATACAAGCCAGTACAAGTAAAACAGTTATCAAGGTTAATTACTTATAAATCCAAAATGGGTACTTAAGGTTAATCTTTTAATGCAGCAGTGAATTTAATATTATTGTTTACCATTAAAATACTCCACGTTAAATTCTTGCAGATAATTTTCAAGCCAGAGTTTTTCATTGTGACTTAAAAACAAATGACTAAACCTGATGCTAAACTTGAACCCCATAATAGCTCCTTCAATTTCATCACAACTTTGTCTATTTAGTAGCAAAATGTAATAATTTTTTTTAGAAACATCCTTGTGCATCCCTTTTGCTAAATTTGTTTCAGAAGTATATATTCATATTTAAGAATTCTATGTCAAAACTACAACAAACAACTGGTTCCTCAAAATGTATTTCTTTAGGAAAAGTTAAACTATCTTTAACAGTAAATTCGTTACTAATATAAGAAATTAAAAACTCATTCAAAAACCCAGCTTACACATAATTATAGGTGCCAGTGTATGAAAAAAAAAAGGTTGGATGAGGTAATAGGTTTAGTCAATCCATACAATACCAGGTTGTGACCTCACTGTATGGATACTATCATAAATTTTCATTTGTAATAGTACCCAGTTTCTTTAGTTGAAGTAAAACCTTTACAATTTGCCCTCCTCTTGAGTGGTAGGGTCTGTATCTAAACATTTAAATTTACTTTCATTGGATAAGATGTTGTGCACCTTTTTAATATCATCTTCTTTCATTTACATGACTAACCCATTTCCTTATTTGGTTTTAGTTGACAAAGTCCTTTGATGAACACAAATGTTTTAAAACTTCCCATTTTTCTTAAGTTATTTCTAACATTTTTTTAAATTGAAAAGACTCTCCACTAAACAATATTATTATTACATTAATTACTTCTGCTGTAACTTTTTAATATGAAGCCTGTAAGATACTACTAAATGCCAGTAACCTTAATAATTGTGTGTTTCACTCCCGTGAAACTTTCATTCAATACATTTAATGTTTCAACATCAAACATACTTTATGTACTTCTATGAACATTTTCTTACTTGCAGCATTCATGTTACTTGAAAAACAAAAATTGGCATTGAAATCTCGACATCTTAGGTGAAAGCTCCAACATTAATTATTTGTGTGTGTGTGTGTTTGAATACATATATAATTATTATATAGCAGTGGCTATTATAACAAGCTAGAAGAAATTCACACTGATACTTTGTCAGAAATCACAGCATCTTAGGTGAAAGCTCCAACATTAATTATTTGTGTGTGTGTGTGTTTGTATACATATATAATTATTATATAGCAGTGGCTATTATAACAAGCTAGAAGAAATTCACACTGATACTTTGTCAGAAATCACAGCAGCTTCTGAATAACTTTATTATAATTTCAGAAAAGTATTTATTTATCATTCATTGTCAATTAGTGGAGTTTAAAGCAACTGTAAAGGACCATGAGAGTTTCCTAAATGACATCATATTCATTAAACAATGCATAATGATTTAATAAGCACCTAGGCCTAGACTTGGATTAACTTTTTTTCATTCACACAGAATTGTAAAACACCATAAATATAATTCATTTTCTTTCAAATCATTTAATTACTTATGTTATTGAAGCTTTATATATTAACTGTTACAGCATGGTAACATGGAGAGTATATACATAATCTTTGTGATAAAGAAGATTATGCTATGATAAAAATATGCTAGTTTAATTTCTGTAATAATAATACATAAGATTGGCATTAATTTTAATAAAAACTGTATTAAAAATGCACTACGTTTAATATAAACAAATTTCACTGCATAAAATAAAACTAGTCTTGTAATTTTTTGAAAATCTGTATTGAAAGTTAAATTTACTACAAACCAAGATATAACAACTTCACATGTCATCAATCTGATCATCAATGTTTATTAAGTCATAGAACTTCTTTATAACATCTATGAGCATTATTTTACATTAAAAAAAGTGACCAAAGTTTGGAAGAGTTTTAACAAAGAATTATGTAAGACAACTAATATTCTCTATTCACCATAAAGGTTTAATTTTTTTACAATAACAAACACAATGTCAGCTTTTATGCTTCATCAAGATAGTTCTCAAACAGGTAACCAGAATTTGAATATATTCTTACCCAAATTACTTGTTAGTTGTGATATTCAAGTATCTTGTGTATCATATAGAAGTAAATATATTCCACAGGCAATTGTAGGACAATTCCTAAGCCTAAGTGTTATATTTCTACTCAAGTTACATGCATTAATATGAAGGCAGTCAGTCTCAGAAGGGATTAACAGGAAAACCAGTATGAAAATGAAATTCCTAACAATTCTTGGGATTTTTGAGAAGCTTTTTAAAAAGCATTCATGGCTTTGTTTTTCAGAAAGAACTTGCACCTACCAGTGAGAATTTTAACATATACAAGATCTACAAAGTATCAGTGCCATTACATAATCATCTATTAAAAGGCAATAAACATACTGCATAGAGTTTATGAGCATATATGAATAACGAGCATTCACTCCAAGTTATCACAAATCAAATAAAAGAAAGACAGTGTGTTAAATATAGTTTCATTGCATTAATCTTTTATACAAATTAATTAGTTAATATATCTTAGCATTACAAGTTATTTTGTAGTAGTATGTCACTGAAGTCACATCTTTTATTTATTTCAAGAATTAGGGTAAATGAACAAACTAATGACATAGAAACTAGATGAACACTAAAAGATGCAATAGAATGAAACATAAGTTCTAAAATATTTCTGAAAAAACAGTAAAATATGTGTATGTATGGCAGTTTTGTAATACAAAGACTTTTTTAACATAGGTGTGTTATTTTACTTGAATTTCATATGGTATCATGTATGTATATTGCTTCTACATACATATATGATATTTTGTTTACTTTTTAGACTTATAAGTGAAATAATACAAGCATTGGTTTTGTCACCATATATTTCCCACTTTTTTTGTCCTTATTAGATAGATTTGTAAAATGAGATCCTATATTTTTTAACAATATTAAAAATTTGGCAACAAATAATATGATATTTAAGACAATCCACAGTTATGTCCCTTATAATTGAGAAATAAAATAGCTTTACTCATATCAGAATTAATTTAATAATTTATTTGTTTTTAAGTGCAAAGTTACACTGTCCTTTGCCCATTGAAGATATCAACATCTGAATTTTAGCATTATAAGCCCCAAGACTTACTGCTGAGCTACTGAAGAGGGGGGGGGGTATACCTAGTTACCTCTTTTAGGAGTTAACACAACATTGGTTGATTGAATATAAGTTAGATTTTATGGATTGACAGACAAAGAAGAATACGAGTTGGTGTTATCTCTTCACAGAGGAAGCTTGAACACTTGAGTCTTAAAAATTATACCCTTTTATGCACTTTGTCTTCATCAGTCAATAGAAGTTCCAAGCCTTATAACTTCTACGCTACTTTCAAACCACTCTCATTATTATTTGACAATTTAACCACAGGGAAAATTATACAAAATAAATATCTACAAATCTACATCTTTGGTTACATAAAATCTATGCAGGAAATTAAACTAATATTGGACTTTTCTTAACGTCCCATTAAAAGATATATATAGAATTATGCTGGTCTACTGGGAAGGTTTCTAAATATTTATTAATACAGCTATGACTATAGTTATAAAACTCTGAAGAAGAAAATTGGTCTAAAGCTTTTTTAATCTTGCTCACATGTGAAGAAGGGGGGGGGGTATTATGACTTTTTATGTCTATTTTCATGTCATTCTGCGTTTTTAATGAATGGCATACATATGAAACGTGTTAGATGTAATTCTTTTATATGTTTTTGCACAACATCAATAAGCACTTGCAAAATAAGTATCATATGTGGTATGCTTAATTAGTCTATTCATTAGTGAATCACAAGGGTGACTGGATTTTTGGCAGAATCTGCCATATTCTTCACAACATTTACTAAAATATATTAAAACTGCAATAATGTTACAAGCATTTTTGAGTACTTAAGCAGCAATAATCATGAGCTTCAAAATGAAATCCTGCAAATCTTAGGGTCCAACTGTATGCACGACATCTCTCTTCCCTGATAATAAAAATACACTTTAATTGAATTATCCAACCAAATGGCTGTAGTGCTTAGGTTTGACAACAGGTGGTATTGGGATGATTTTGTTGGGAAATTTTCATATTCTTCTCACTTACAACTTTTCATCTTAATGTTGTTGTAATCTTACGAATTGGTAGCTCTTTCTCAATATTCTGAAAAACAAAAATCAGAAAAATATAGTACTAGAAAAAACCAGTTAAGATACATACAGATGCAAGAATAATACAAAAATTAACTATCAGGTAACTTATCAAAGTTATAATGTATTTATAGGTTAGTTATAAACAATTTTAAAATAATATCTTTAAGATATGTATAGTTGGTATTTCCTGAGCTAACATTAAAACACTGCTGCTATTACTGGATCCACATGTAAAAGTTGAAATATACAGAATGACTTAAAAATAAGAAATTATTTGTATGCTGAGAAAATCAAAGTGATGAATTAATTTATCAAAGTAAAAAATAAAGACATGTAGTTAAAATATTTATTCCTTTCAATCCAAAATGTCATCAAAAACATAAAACTAGTTTCAGCTTACAGATTGATATGCTGTTATATTTAAACAAAGTTTTTTAATGTAGGCAGTTTGCATGTTTTTATTGTTACTTTTTGTCTTTAAATAAAACTTTATTCAATTCAGTGACATGTTAAACAGAAATAATTTTCACATCTAAAGTTCAAAATCAAAGTCATTTAACACTTTAACACAATTTCACCATTAACATTAGAAAAATTATGAAAACTATTTTCCCAGATGTTTAAAAAAATAAACAGTTCAATTTTCCATTAAGAAAATCTAAAAAAATTGTTTTTGGTATAGGAGAGAAACAACTAAAAGATTAAAATATGCATAATATTTATCTTGTGTTAATCCTCACATTGCCAGAAGTGTTAATTGCAATAAAAATTATAATAGAATTTTTTTCACGTTACCGGCATATTACTGAAATCCAATATTGAACAGTGGACATACATGTCAATATTACTTGATGGAAAAAAAAATTTCCTTATAAAACAAATGTTTCACATAATGGAACAGAATTGACACAAAATGTCTTGTATAGTTGCTGAGGAATTTACTGAATACCACAGGCTATATGCATAGATGTCACAATACTATTTTTTTTCTTGAACTCGTAAATCATTTCCTTTACTCCATGTTATTGGACCACTACTTTTCAGGCAACAAACAATCTAGTAGTACAGTAAGCAAGTTTTGTAAAAAGTAATATCTATACTAACACTACCATAGTATGATATATTATTACCATCAGTCATCACATGTTTTAATTACCTCAGTTAACACCAGAACATCACCAGTCGTGTAAGAATCAGAAGATCTTACTTAAGGCATTGTATTGTTCAATTCATCCATCAGTCAATCAAGCATCTTTTATTGGATCAATTACCACAACGGTATTGTAAATTAATACCACGTAAACATTTTGCACAATAATTCAGTTAACACCAAAGTACAGTGCTTTATCACTACCAGTTGAACAAGCTTAACTATAAGAATACTTCAGTTAACTTTGCAGTACAATGCAGTTCACCTGCCATTCAAGCAAGTATATCTTTCAGAATACTTCAGTTAATGTCACTGTAAATTACTACTAACAGTAAAAAAAAAGCATCTTTAATACCACAATATATACTACAACACTGTACTTTATTACCACTAGTAAACCAATTATTTCTGATACCTCAGTTAACAACACAATGCTGTACATTAGTATCAATACTCAACCAAACATCTTTCCTTCCCCATTTAACACCACAGTATTGTACTTTTATACCACTAGTCAACCAAACATCTTCAGTAGCTCACTTAACTAGTACACCTTTATATCTCATGACACCACAATACTCTACATAACAACCAACAAACTAGTTTAGTTTAGTTAAGATAAGAGGGTATTACTATCTGTGGCCAAGCTGTACTGTGAAACATGTTAAGCTTGTGTAGGTAAAGAAATTAATCCATTATCAAATGATTATTCCAGTTTGGAGCTATTTCAACACAGAGCAGCTTCATCTAAGTCACTTGTAAGGAATATTACTCAACAGAGCTTTATTTGAATATAGGTTATTAATTAAAAAGAAAATTACACTTGTGAAGTTGAGCATTTTCTAATAACTTTTCAGTCAATGAATTATTTATATTATGCCTCTACCAACAAACCTCTAACAATCGCTCTCGATAGTCCTCATCAGGCTCATTTTTTAACTTCTGTGGTACAGGCAAATGACCCCATCGAAGCATTAATTGCAGATCATCCACATCCATCACAGTCAATGGCTCGAGGTTGTTGTTGTTAATTTTTTCAACCAGATATTCCACATAGTGAATCCTAGTGAAGGGGACAGAAAATGAGCATGCGTGAACTTCTAAAAATACAGAACATTCACCTTGATAAGTTTTTCTCGGTATTGTTCCTCTGAGTCCTGCCGTAATTTAACAGGAAGACGAAGAGTGGCTCTTTTCAGAACAAGTTCCAGCTCATCAATGTTGAAGATGGTCAGGGGATCAATGTTGTGTTTCCTCACTAATTCACCTAGGTACTCCACATAATGTAGTCTGTAAATTAATAAAGGGACTTTCATCGAGACAGTGGGCTTTTTTGTTACATAAATAAATGAAGGGATAAAAATACAATTCTCTGAAACTGTTACTTTGTTAACCTGAAAACCTTTCTGCATGATTTGGGGAGAATCTTATTATATTCATATTGCAACTCTTGGACAGAGATTGCTTCAGTTACCCTAAAACCAAATAGAAGAATAAAATATTACTCTTAAAAAATGTAAAATAATCTTTTTTTTTTTCAAAGAAACTGGTCAAAATTATTGTAATCAAATATTAATGGAAAATTTTTTTAAAGTCTTTGAAATATGAATCCACTTTTACTTTAATTTAATAGTTTGTCATACAGGACAGGTAATCAATGTTGACTTTAACTTGTTATGTTGATTACATATCTTTAAAGCAAATGGTGCAAACAGAGCCACACAGAGCTTCCATATATACACGAGTGCAGTGTACTATACTACACTATCCTACAATGTAATAGTGTATTGTGGCCCAGTAAACAAACAACCACTTGTTAAATACTGTAAATCTAATTTATAAATCTGCAGTATCTTTAAGAAACCTTAGTACTCTTTTTTTTTTTATTACCAATATAATGCGTTTTTCATTTTCATGTTTATTATATATCTTTATTTCCATAATTTTTAGTTGTACATTTTAAACAATGAAAAACAGGAGAAAATAATACAAAATAACAAACACGCAACCAATTTCTAGGTGAACATCTGTCTTTAACTACTAATATAATTTATGTAACTTAATACTGTTAAAAAAATCCACAATGGTGAAAGATCTATAAGCACTCAACATTATTCATGAATGCTTTATTCACAACCAACCATCCCTGCTCCAAGATATATAGTGTTGTAAATAAGTCAAACTTTCATATACATATACAAACTGTTTTAACCATTAAACTAATCTGTATGTTTTTTTGCCAGTTCTGTCACCCAGGTGAGTTCAATAACACATACATTATATTTAATTACTTAATGAATTGAGTCAGTTAAAAGTTATCTTTCTTGACATTATGTCTGAGAAAATTACAGTGTCAAAGCTCACAATGCTAGCTGAGTGGCGTTCAACTGCCAGTGATTTCAGATCTTTCAAACTATCTTAGGCAAAGGTAGAACATGGGTAATTTTTAATTTTTAAACTTGTTAAAGTTTACATTTACCTATACTGAAAATGTATTTCTGATAATACTTATGTCCACTCACACTTTAGCTTTATCCTGATGAAAGGTTCTGTTCTTTGCCATATAAGCATTGGTATGAATTCTACCTCACTTGCTCCAGTCTTTATATCCATCTATATCATCCCTAGTAGTTTTAATCTTGTGACTCTCTCCACCTACATAAATGCGCCCTCTATACCAGATCTGTATACAATCTCCCTGCTATTCTTTCTTACTCACTTTTTCGAGACTAGCAAGATTATCAGACCCCAAACACTGGCTATTTTGGGGAGGAAGGGCGGGCAGTGTGGGAAGAGGCGAGTATTATCAAAAATACATTTTCCATATAGGAAAATGTAAGCTTTTGAAACACATTTACCTTCACTCTCACTTTAGCTAGAATCCCACATTGACAAGGTAGAGGGGATGATTGAGGGGAAGGTCGACACAGAAAAAGTCTGCATAGAAAAATAGGTGTGCAAAATTGAAATATAATAAAGCACATTGGTGGGGATCCACACTACTTCTGGAACAGGTATGCTCTTTGCCCGGATAAAGTGAAATCTAAACATGAGTGGTAAAGGCCAACCAGCTACAGAGTCAACAATGTTCATTATCATGAGATTCATCCCAGGCTTCAACCATACAGACACGGTTCCACATCTCATCATTGGAATTATAGGGCTGTGAATGCAAAGTTAGATCCAAGGTGGAGTGGCTAGTGCATGAAGACTGCAATATGATATAATTGTATAATAGGAATATGATATGAAGGGAACCCAACCTGAAAGTTAGAGGATGTTGCATGTTGAGCCACCAGAATTACAAAGAGAAGGCAAGTAACACCTAAGTGGACAAACCCTCACTCCAACCTGAAGAAGCACAAAATGCAACAAACCAAACTTAGAATTACGGGCCCAGGCACTGAACCTGAAAGTTACAGAATGTTGCATGCGAGCCACCAGAATTATGAAGGGAAGGCAAGCAACACCCAACTGGACAAGTCTTCCCCCCAACCTGAAGAAGCACAGAATGCAACAAACAAAACTCAGAATTATGGAGCTAATTCACCTCTCACTCAACCTGAAGAAACAGAGATCATCCGGCCTGGAATTATGAACCGAAATCCTATCACCTCAACTTGGGAGGAAAGGCAACACCTCCTGCTCCTAGAATTATGAGAAGGATGTGGAACAATCAAAGTTCAACCAGTGGCTCAAAGACATGATGATCCGCATGTGGAATTACAAGGAGTCAAGGACCCTCTTCCATGATCATGGAAAGTAATAGAATGAATAAAAGAAGAGCCATGGTCACACAACTGGATAGTCAAGTGTCATCTCTGAACCAGAATTATGAGAAGGCTCCCACATAGGCTGGTCTGGCTCCCCACCAGACATCTGGGAAAACCATCTAGGGTTAAGGGTGGGAGGGTATCCAGCTTTGCCTTCTTCTCCTTTAATGGAATAAAGAGTACAGACATCACTCAGGAGGGACAGACCTCTGTCTACCACTCCAGCAATTGGAGAGTGGTAAGGACTCCCTTGCTCCACTAGAAGATAGGGGGAAACTCACACTGGGGAGTCTTGAGGAATGATGCTCCAGAGACAATGCAATAGGTGAACCACATTCCCTATCTTGAAAAGAAAACCAACCCCAATTTCTTCAATCCAGGGGTTAGCAGAGATGGGCAAAGCCCCTTTATGCTTTATTCATGATAGTCCATGAGTGGCAGTTCAGTACTGTATATAGAACATTTCATATAGAACAATTGTTCACCACCCAGAAAGTGACAAGGGATTCTTACAAAGCACCCCATCTCCACAGAGCTTGTTGCTACCAGGAATTTAGTTTTTAGTCTACTGGTAGCAAATTTGTAAAATCATACCTAACCAGGCAACACTTGCCACGAAGTGGGATCCAAATGAGAATGATGAGAAGGTCTCTGAAAAGGAGCATAAAAGAAAAAAATGGCTACTCACTTCTGTCACAATTGAGCCTGGGCATGTAGAATAGCCACCGAGGGGTAGCCACAACCCATCTGAGGAGGAGACTGCTAAATCATGTAAGTTGTGCGATATAAAGGTGTTAGGTGTGGTTCACATACCAGCTTGTACAATTTCCTCCAGCAGGCGATGCAACTGAGCTGCCAGGGACATGGTATATGTCAACCTTAATGAAATGAGACCCGAAAAAGTCTCCACTCCACCAATGAAAGACCAGAGTAAGCTATCTGAACCAACTGACGAATCCAACTTGTCATAGTGACAGGGGATAAGTTGTATAATATCATAGGATCCCAATGGATAAATAACAGGTGACATGAGCCCCAAAATGTTTCAGTGCATGCCACACAAACACTGCTTCCCTAGCTGCTGCAGTTTTAGGTAGAAAGGACCTGTCTGTATACAACAGAACATAGTTGGAATGGTACAGTGTCCGGTGAACATGAAGCATAAATACATCTGAATGTTGATGACTGCTGGCTAATTACAGAAGAAAATATACACCTGGAAAAAAGTTAAGCACCCCCAAATATTTTTCAGGATTGCTTATTGAAAATAAGGTTTAATTTTCATGATGTTGAGCAATGTTCATAATTTCAAACATAATTAAAAGGATGTGAGTGTTCAGGTGTGACATTTAAATCAGGCGCGTTTTTTT